ACAGAATATCAGGTCTGTTGTGGATCACGAGATGGTCTGTTATAAACGATTGATTCCAATATAATTTTAAGCCATCTTTCTGGCAAATACCTTTAGGGCAACATTTATAGTAGGGCATCGAGTCGTTTAGTAATTTAATTTTTAGACCAATCGCCTGGTGATAGACTTTAACATAATAATTATCATTATAATTATTATGTTAGGCCTAGGGAAGGACAGCACCTAATAATACGTCTTGGTTGACTTGATTCAATTAAATAGCCTATGTTAGGAAAGAGATCTCTCATCCAGCGCCTTTTTAACCTTCTCTCCATATTTAGCGATATTTCAGCTGTAGAAAAGTCTCTTATTAAACTATATTACCCGATTAAGGGGGCAATGCGTGCTTCATACAACTCTACCTTTTAAATTTATACAAAATCGTTGATAAATTGTCGTTAAATGCCGTCAGATGGAGGTCAGTTTGTAGAATTTTGTTAGTCATTTACCAAGGTGCTTTTGAGTCGTATCAATTTTGATTGACAGGTGGGTGTTTTTGTAGGTGGGTGATTTCGGTGATATCGTATATATTTGATGAGTATGTCCATATGAGTTTAAGTATGTAATGTTGACTTTCGATAATTTGAACTGGGATAGTTCGAATTTCTCGTCAATTCGAATAATTTAATTGTTAACTTCGGTAAATCGAAAAATGATGTATTTTGATAGCTTGATAACTGATTTTTTTTTTCGTAACAGAAGGGGAAGAGAACGTTCTATAATTCCAACTAGACCATTTGCTCTCTTTATATTTTAAAATTTTCTTACAATTAGTAATATTTCTACTCATAGATATATGGTATAGCTAAAAAGACTCACTTACACAAACTTTAAACTTTCCAATCAAAAATATTACGACTTATAACTAGAGCACCTTGGTACGTGACAAACAAAACATTACATACAGACTTTCTCAGCCTGCAGTTGACCAACACCTAAGGACTCTTTACAAACCATTTTAAAATAATAACACAAACGTACTACAATAATAATTAGACATATGGCTTCAGCTGACTTAGTCATCAATACGAAGGAGAGACTAAAATGGCGCTGGATGAGAGACCTCCTTCCTTGACAAACCATTGTAATTGATTCAAGCCAGACAAGAGGTAGTGCTGGGTGCTATTCCGTTCCATAAGATGGATAGCTTATATAGATTTTTTTTATCCAGATTTTTAAATTAATTATTTTTTAGGCTTCTAAATGCATTCTGCAGAAGTTTAAAAATAATGTTTTTTGTTGTCGTTCCTACTTGAGACATTATTTCCAATCTGTTTGCTCAGTGTTTCAATAAGAAATATTAATTATTTTAGCCTTAAATAACTGACACCGAAAGATGGTAACAGTTCGTAAATAATTCAACTTTCTTGGAAGAATATTTTCAAAGCGAGTCGTATAATTAGGAGACTTGGCCTTAAGAATCCTCAAACCACTTTAAAAGTTCACTCAAAGAACACTCGAAATTTTCCCAAAGATTTCGGTCTGCGGTAATCAAAAGGGAATAAATCCAGTGATCTTGTGATCTTGTTTGCAGCTTCTAACGAACACTTCACGATTTTTTTATTCAATTTTCTCTAGCAAAAGGGAAAAAAAATTAAAGTTTTTTTTTAACTTCATTTTTTCACCCACTACTGTCATAAGCAAAGACAATTCACTAGTCTGCTGTCGCTAAGAGTACAGGTAGTGGCTTGATCAGCATGATGGAGAGGAGTGCCCAGCGGCATCCCTTCCTATTTTGAATTTAGCATCTTTTTAAGAGAGCAAATCCCTCATCCAGCTCCTTTTGAGCCTCCTAAGTGTGTTTTCGGGCATGTTAAATGTGACCATACTTTGTATAAGTGTGTAAATATGTCCATGTAAGTTATTGTGAAATTGCTTGTAATTTGTCCGTATGTGATGGTTAACTGTTATCATTTGAAGGTCTTTGTGTTATGTTATGTTTCTGAGATCATGGAGCTTTAGTAATAGTCCTGAAAGTTTTGGACTGAAAAGTTTGTAGCTTTCTTATGTGTGTCGTTTTGGTTGTTCCGTAAATTTGTGAAGCCGCGTAGGTCCATATGGGCTTAGGTAGATAACTTCTGTAAGTGTTCAGTTTTTGTTTTAAGTTTAATTTTGAGCGTCTTGATAGAAGTGTGTAGAACAGTCGTAGTCTGAGGTTTAAATTTTTTCTTTTTTTGTTGATGCATGGGCCCCATGTCAGTCTTCTGTCGAATGTCAGTCCAAGTTATTGTATTTTATCTGTTTGAGGAATTTCGATATTGTCAAGGTAAATAGGAGGCCATGTTTCATGTAGAAGAGTGAAAGTGATGTGTTGTGATTTGTCTTGGTTGAGTAAAGTAATTTTAAATTTTGGCCACAGATAAATAGTTCAATTAATTTATTTCTTATTACTGGTGCCACATTAATGTATTTAGCCTATAATAATAATAATAATTAAAATGTACCAATACATATCTGGATACTATAGATTCTGCAATAGAGTTTAAATGACAAAATACCGGAAATGTCATCCGAAATCATCTGTTGTAAGAATGAATCTACCGAGAAAAGTGGGAGGGTGAGGGCTTTTAAGTTTATTAAAAGCATGCCGCGAGGAAAAAGCAAAACTTTGAAACTATTTCAGAGCTAATGGATCATTCGGGGTCAACTCAGCTATTGCGGGACAGCGATTCCACAGTTTTGAATCTTCCAGAGGAATATTTGTCTCCACCTGTAAATCAAAATATTCTTCTCGATACGTAAAAGTCCGAAAAGTTATATGGAAGATTTTACCATAGTTATTGGCAGCAGCAGTCCATAAGGATGGGTTTCACATGTGGCTAGGTAGCAGTGCATTGTTCTCTGAAACTGAAGGTTTCCTTATTGCCATATTGAACCAGGTTATCGCGACAAAGGTACATGGGGACTGTATTTGTGGAGAAGTTGTAGCTCATCATTATCTTCGTCCAAATTATTTAGCTTCAAGAACAATTAATTCGATAACAGTAGTATATTTTTGAGGGTTTTTATCGCTTTTTCCTCACTATGCTTCATAAAGTTTGAAAACATTATTCTTTGATACATTACATAAGCAGAGAGTAAAACCAAACACGTCTTTTTTTAATTTTGTGTTAATTTATTTCTTCACTCACACCCTTTTTACTTTCCTATCCTGTGAAGTCTGTAAAGTGTTTAGGATATTTATTTATTTATAGGATTGTTGTATCTTCTGCTTATGTCAATGTTATTATTCCGCTTTGATGCGATAATTTAATTTTCGTTTGTTTATAATTTTTCGCTAAGCTTCCTCCTGAATATCCTTTGGGAGGGTCTCCCCCCTGTTGAGCTAATACAATCTACATTAGAACTAAGTTAATTAATACGCCTTTAGCCTACTTTCGTCGGACCGGGGGGGTGAGGAGGGGGAAACGTGACGTTGAAGAATGAAAACTCGTCCCCCCCCCCTTGCGCTAATTGGGACAAAGTGAACAGCGACGATCATCTTCTCCGGAGACAATTTGTCTTAATTATTCCGACAATTGCTCAACACGTGTGTCTTAATTGTAAAACTCTTCCAGCGCCAGCTGTCCTCCAGTCACTAACGGCTGACAAAAATTTCCCGCCTCGAAGTACAGAATCCAATAAACGCGTTATCAAATGCTTTCATTTTATTTATTTCTGTTTGTTATTTAAAAATTGTAAACGCAAATGCTAATATATGGGTCATTTTCAAAACTGTTCATTCTTGAATTCCAGAAGGTTAAAATGATAGCCTGAGGTATAGACTCCTTTTTAATTATTATTACTTCCGGAATGGCTCCAGTTTATTATAACCTACACCTTTCTTATTTAGGAATATTTTTGGAAATATTACGTTTCAATCTGAAGTATGGTCAACTTTTTCAATGTAATGAGTACTAAAAACTCATTACGCAAGATATATCGTGTGTATATGCAGTGTTTAATAATGAACCGAGTAATGAATAAAGGGTTACTCCTGCTGAAATAGACCTTATGGATGAATGTTCTGACCATAACCGTTCGGAGAAAAATCTGTCGGAAAGGAAGGATTATAGTAAATGACGGTAGATATGTAGAAGTATTTTTTTGAGCTCAAAGACTGGACTCTGGTGCCAAAGTCTATCAAATGCTTGAGCAACATCTATGAATACGTCAGTTGGATTTCCGCTCTAGTGCCGTGAATATGTAGGAAGTAAATAAATTTGAATATTATTTATAATTCAATGCCTAATAAATATTAATTATTAGATTTTCTTTTGGTTTATTATTTTCAATAATGAACCATTGTGATCGAACAAAATATTTAAAAACTCAACCCCCCTCTCAAAATTTGAGGTGTTACATTTCAGAATACGTAGAAGTCGAAAAACGAATAAATTTTTTTTTGTCCGTACGCGCATTTTCTGCGAAACTACTGGACCGATTTTTTTCAAATTCGGATTTAAAATTAGAGGTTATCCGAGGATGATCCTCCTTCATCAACATTTCTATACGCTTAAATTGTAACTTAAAGCGACGCCGTATTAGGGAGGCGTAAAGGAAAAAAAATAGTCAACAATTAAATGATAAAGAGTTTTATTGAAGATATGGATTAAAATATTTCAGAAACTAAAAATCATACCTGCATACTGTAAGCGAGGAAAATGTTCAGCATTTCTTCTTCTTTATAATGAGCTATTATATCTACTTATTATTCATTTATTTTATTTTCACCTTTTCTATCGTTTGTAGGCCTGATGAAGACTTGTAAGGTGGGTCGAAACGTCGGCATTATAATTAAATAATACTACTTCTATAATTTAGTATTTATTTGACCGCACATCCTGATCAACCCCCTCTCATATTATATTATGGCCAACCATCTCTACATCATTAAAAAAAATATATATAACTTCATCATAGTAATTGCCATTTCATTTTTAATTATGCATTTATATAATTGTAGACGTTACCTGTTGCAGGTGTCGGCCTCCAATATGAGCCAGGTGACCTTAACCCAGGTGGGCTACACCAGCTCCGGGACCTACAGGTGCGAAGTTTCCACCGAGGCGCCCAACTTCGAGACCAGCCTCCAAAGCAAGAACATGACCGTCCTAGGTAAGTCGAGGAGTAGACTTAGCAATGAGGAGGGGCCCTTGCCAATGTAGAGGGCGCTATGCAGACCGAATCGAGAAGCAGGCTGTGGTCCCTTTGAGGTTTTCAATATCCCAACTCCGTTTGATGATGATGCTCAAACTCTGAAATAATTTAAATATTATGGACTTCCATAACTCCGGGATTGAGGTTGTGATTTAAATATAAACAATAGAAAGTTTGAGTTATTTATTTGACTATATTTGCTAGGAAGTTTCCCGACGTATAGGGTAAGAATTGTATGCATGTGTTTTAGTAGTTATTTTGATTAGTTTAGTTCTTTTGTTTGTATACATTTACTTTTATTATTATTAGTTTATGTATTATTTATTTTTATTTATTGGAAATAGAATGTGAATGTGCTCTTTAAATTTACTATTCCCCTTAAATATTTCCCGTTACATACGGATCACTATGTATATATGACAGCTATAAGTACCATAGTATTGTACTGTAATTAATTGACTATGGTATTAAAGCAAGCGTTGGTGATCGGGTGTGCATCCAAGATAAATACAGATTAAAGTTTATCGTCATTAATAAGATTCTACGCTTGTTTGTGTCAAACCAACCTTTTGGAATTCTGATAAAGATAGAGATAATAATATTGAATCTTTTTGTAATCAGTAATATTAATGATTTTGGAAGGACGTGTAATCATTGTGAACTTTTAAAAAGTCATTTGTTGATTAAAACATGATTTCACTTCAAAATTATGAACTTTCTGTTCCCTCTAATTTATGTCCAATTGATCGATTTATGAGATGTGAAACGTCTTTGCTGCCACAAGAAGCAAATCTCATTTTTGGAAGTGATTAATATCTGACTTCTAAAGAAATAGAAGAAATATCTCCGAATAATTTGAGCCATCGAACGTAAAAATCTGCGAAATTAGTCGGGGTGCGGTCAGTATATAATACTATATATTATAATAGTATTTATTATGTTAGCTAACGTTTCGGTCACCGTTGTAGGTCTTCATCAGGGCATTTCATCTTGCTCTGGCGGAAGAAGTTAGGCGATTAATCCATCCATAAGTCACTTTACTTCTTCCAGCAATGCCAGATGAAGAGCCCTGATGAAGACCTACAACGTAAATCGAAATGTTGTCTAACGTAATAAAATACTATTATAATATACAGGATATCCTGTAAGTAAAAGGAAATATTTAAAAGATTTATATTAGACATCAAGATCTACATTATATTACACATTAAGATTCAACTATGGAAGTATGAAAGGTTTTTTTCTTCTTCTATAGTAATTGTATGAGAGGTCGTGTATTTCTATGTTTTTACAGATTCCATGCATTTTGGCTTATTATCTGTATAAAATGTTTTTACAACCTGTCTTAAACTTTATTAGGTATGAAAGTAATTAGGTAAATAAAAAGTCACTAGAGAAAAATAAATCAATAAAGAGAAGGAGGGAGAGAGAGATTAATGAATTTATTGAAATTCGCAACTGTAAAAATCAATACAACTATTGAATAATATGCATATATTAAAATATATTCAAATATTAAACTAACAAACAAGAGAAATGATTAATAAATATAAACCAATAAAAATTCACGAAGAAACAGAAATTCAATGTTAGGTTATAAATGAAAACATTTCAACAACACAGACCAAATTTGTATATTTATTGTATAATCGTATACAATTTCATGGGTGAAAAATATTCAGAACGCAGTTTTTAATAAAAAATAAAATTAATTTTTTACTTGTGCCTACGTTTCAACCCAAACATGTGGGTCATCTTCAGTGCTTGAACCAACCACGCCCTGAAGATGACCCACATGTTTGGGTTGAAACGTTGGCATAAACAAAAAATTAATTTTTTTTTTTTTTTAGACTGCGTCCTGAATATTTTTCACCCATGATGTGTAGAACAGTCGACTTTCTTCCTTTATTAACATATACATTTTCAGAAATTGTTAGGTTAGCTAAATTACTTAATTGTCCAGTAATGAATTCTTGATTTTTTTCTGAAAAACAGTTTTTTTTTCTCGACAAGACTGTACTTTAAAAACTGCTTCTATCGTAGTTGTTATTTCCCAACAAATCATAGACCTTATAATATTGGTAATTATGTAATCAATACACCAGTTGAATATAAAATAATTAACCATTTTTTTATTAAGTTTATAATTTTCTTTCTCTTCGAATCTTAATCCATACCTGTCATGAATTTGAAATAAGCAGATGAGCTATTATGAATTTAGAAAATGGCGTGTTAGGCATGAGCAGTATTGCCCAAATGCGAGACCAAGAAGAGTCTTGGGGTCATGCGCACTCCGTCTTGGGCTTAGTCTTGGTCTTACCTATTTTATCTTACTACTATAGAGATATTACTGTATTTTTTTAGATAGAAGAAACCTATAACCTATAACCCTAATGAAAAATTAGAACTATTAAATGCAAAAAAGTATAATGGTTATATCAATTGTTTATATATAGTTACTAAAATTGTTGAGTATTAAAAATTATTTTGCCTTTAATTTTCAATTTCATTTTCATTTAAACAATCTATTATTTTTTTTACCTTCTTGGACTTGGTCTTGCAAGAGTTAGGTGATCTTGGTCTTGGTCTTGCAAAGTGCAAAACCAAGACCTATTTTGGGTAACACTGGCCTTATGTCGTCAAAATACAGAAGAGAAAAGGCTGTAATGGTGGAATTTTAACAATTATAACCTAATTAAAAGAAAAAATATTTTTGAGAAAACGTTTTTCACCGTTGATATAAAGTGAGACTTCCGGTTAGCCGATTTTAAGGAAAGAGTTGCTGTAACATCTAAGTCATATATCTATGTTAAATACGTAATATCAGTTTTCTACGACTTTTCGTTTTTGAGCTAGACTTTTCGCATACACACAGACCATTTTGTGAGACTTAGTTTATTTGGATTCAGCGTACATCAAAACGTGTATTTTCTTTGAAAACTCAGATTCGAAATTTTTCAGGATCGCAATAATTTTCCTTAATATATGTTATATAGGTAAGTGAAAGTAAAAAATAAAATAAAGGTGGAATAAAAGTAATTAAAAAGAACTAATAATGTATACAACTATTAACAGCGATTTACAATTTTTTGGAGACAGAATGGACAGATAGTGATTAAACAGGTGGGATCGAAAGGTGGGGAGGCTATTCGAAAGATGGATGTAGGAAGGGATAGAATTTCATATGGATGAAGATCGGGTAGTGAATTATTTGTTGAAAGAGGTGATTCCGTGGTATATGTGTCTGTATGAGTGGGCGGGGTGGCCGAATGGGCTAACTCGTTGTGCACAGCACCACCGTTGCCCGGCAACCTGATATATGATAATTGATACAAAAATAGTCATGAGTTCGCCTCCCTGGGCCAAGGCGTCTTTTGAATTCCCGCATACAACCCCATGGCCGGGAAACCCCCGTATAGCCTTAACGGCGAGGAAGGGGAGGACACAAAAAAAAAAAAATGTATATATTTCTGTAGGCCGAGAACGTTATAGCGGAAGGTTATAGATAGTTAGACGATTTAAAATAAACGAGGTCAAATAAATTGAAACTAGAAAAACTAAACCACAAGAAAAAATTGGTGGAAGTAGGAAGTTTGGAATGTACTTTTCCATTCTTCTTTTGATTTTTCTTGTTTTATTTTCGTGGTTACTAATTTCGTTCTCCTGATTTTTGTATATTTACTGTTGCAAGTTTGCTACTTCAACGAATTTGTATTTGTAAAATAAATGTTTCTTCAAGTTGCCAAGTTTCCCCTTCCATCGAAATCGTCTTCATTTATAATATTGGAGGTTAAGTGGAAAGTATGAAGGTTATGTGGATCGTATAATATCTACCTTGCAAAATGTGTTGCAGAGTGGGGTAAATAGTTGTTACTACCAGCAATGAGGTTTTTAAATACCATTACGTTTTTTTTAACAATTATTAAAATTAGGTAATCGTCTGTCATGATTAGCAATTATACTACTAGTTTGTGATATTTTTTTTTTACTTTCATTTTTTATCTTGTTAATTCCAGTCCCAAATGGTTTAAATATTAAAGAAGTGTATTTTGAAACTATCGAAAATATATTTTAAAACTCTGTAGGACACTAATAAAAAGAAATAATAAAAAAAATCAAAAGTATATATGCATTATAATTTTGCTAATATTGGAAGGGAGGGGTGTAGTATTGGACTGGAATTTTGATCGCCTCTTGTTGGAGGCTGCGAGGGGAATTTTATCGGAATTGCGGCTTGTCAGATTGTGGTGCTCCCAAGCGGAATGGACCGTGTGTAATTCTCTTTAGCACGCTGGGCTTAAATTATTCACAACAAATCACTTTTCAATAAAAGAAAAATGAATCAATACGTAAAGTATAAACTAAATCAAAGCATTAGCATGTTAAATATAGTATTATACATATATTACTTAGCATACATATGTTACCATTAACAAAGATTACATGATTATTTCAACAACGTTAATAATAGAAAAGTGGTGCCATGAGCATGTAAAAAAAAAATGCACAGCCGCTTCATAAATATAGAGCCATGTTGTTAAATGTTTTTCAATCTATGTTTTATGTTCAAAAAATGTTGTACAGCTTATAAAAGTCCTGTTATATCCTGTTTTTTTGTTAAACTGTGTGAACGTTGCCTCTTATTTTATTTTAAAACAATGAATGACGTTAAAAAAAAAAAAAAACTCATACCAGATTGAAACGAAAAGAAACCGCTCGACGATTCCGATTACTTCAGCACTTACTAGCTGCACTTACTACACTTACAAACGATCTAAACTTCCAATTAATTACAAAAGACACATATACATGACTATAATAAGGCCTATTTGGACTTACGGAGTTGAGCCATGGAGCTCCACTAAACCATCGAATTCCTCTCGTATCCAATCCTTACAATCCAAAATCCTTCGTAGAATCCTCAATGCTCCTTACTTTGTTACAAATAAAACCATCCATAGT